TAGATAGATAGATCAACTTTATTTAAACACATTGGCCTTTTCAGCAAAAGCTGATTTCCAAAAGGGATGTGTACTTACAAATTATTATTTATATACTAGCTCTAATATTACATACATAACAAATACAATTATATACCTATTTAGACAAAAATTAACTACTACTTTAAGTCGAGATTAAGGTCGAGGAAGATAGCTTTTTACAGAACGAATTATACGATACCGAATTGCGTATCTCTTCAGGTATCTGATTCCATAGTTTAGCCCCACTATATTGGAAGCTTTTTTTTAAGGATTCCGTTTTTGGTCTTGGAATATAAAACCTTGTTGAAGAACCTCTCAGATTATGGTCATGAATGGTTCAGATTTTGGAAAGCTTCGCATAGTCGTTGGGGGGCTAAACCATTAACTGTCTTGTACATGAGCCTGGCTTTCATTTGTGCCCTACGCTCTTCAAGTGTTACCCAGCCTAGAGATTTTCGTGCCAAAATAGACTGACCATGTTCATTTTTTAAGTTCATGATCAACCTAGCCGCTCTGTTTTGGAATTTCTGTAGACGTTCGCTTAGGCCTTTATCAAGTGTATCCCATACTTCACAGCAATAATCAAAATAAGGTTGGATTAAGGCATTATAAACTTTTATCAAAATGTCTTGTTCGACATACTCCCTCATTTTCCTAATAGCCCCAATACCTGATGATATTTTACTGCTAATATGGTTAATGTGTTTTTCCCAACTCAAGTTTTCGTCTAATTCAACTCCAAGAGCTTTGGTATTTTTAACTTTTTTAATCAATTGATTATTTATTTTAACTCCTTGATGGGTATCAATATTACTTATTTTATGTCGTGTTCCAATTAAAACATACTCGGTTTTCGCTATATTTAGACTTAGTTTATTTGCACAAACCCATTTCTGAACATTCCTCATGTCTACGCTCGCCCTCTCTTCCGCCTCACTAATTGTTCTGCCTACTGCCGTTAAGTTAGTATCATCAGCAAACATTCTTGGAGTTGTGCGTTCTAGGCAGCTTGGCAAATCATTTATATACATAATAAATAAGAGAGGGCCGAGTATACTTCCCTGAGGAATGCCACAAATGATTTCTTTCTCCACCGAGAGTATACTGGCCAATTGACAACTTAGACTTCGGTGCGTCAAATAGCAACGTAAAAGATTTAATGCTTTCCTTTGGAAACCATACATTTCAAACTTACTTAACAGTATTTCGTGGTCGACTGTATCGAATGCCTTTTTTAGGTCAAGAAAAACAACTAAGTTATACAGCCCACGGTCCATGTTGGTATACCATTCGTTCGTACAATCCAATAATGTAGTAGTTGTGGAATGATAAGGTCTGAAACCAAATTGGTGTTTTGAGAAAAGATTATTATAAGTAATAGCATGGCTTGAGGGAGATTAGTGATTAAATGGCCCCGTAACCCGAGGCAGGTTTGCGGAATTCCCGAGGGCGAAGCCCGAGGGAATTCCGCAAACCTGCCGAGGGTAAGGGGTCATTTAATCACTAATCTCCCGAAAAGCCATGCTAGTAGTTTGTAATAGCATAGTTTCGCTCCCATTTAAAAATGGACAAACATGCCCTACTTGGAATCAGCGTATTTAAGCTAAAACATTTGCTTCATTGCTTGTGGGATGTAAAAGCTTGTTGCACATGCGCACTTTTTACGCTTTAATCGGTTACGCATGCGCAATCTATCATTTAACGTACCACAACAAAAACGCTAAATATATTAGTATAAAATTGGAGACTGCACGAGCGTAATTTAAATGATGCGGCAACTCAGGGATCGGATGATAGACTATTGACGGCTCTGAGCTAACTGTTGCTGTTCCTTGCACGATTATGTGCGTGAGGCACTTGCCTAATGCGTAGTCGTCAGGGAGACAAAGGTGTGACCCTTGGTAACGGGCGATTAGTTCTAATCGCCCGCTCTAGCGGGCGATTAGAACTAATCGCCCGCTACAGCCACAGAATAGGAAGTTATACCAGAAGCGTAACTCTAGTCGTTTTCCTTATTGTTTGACGTCCACGAAAATTTTTAACTCGCTCACGTCAGGCCACGCCATCCTGGCTAGTACAGCCGGAAGTTTTTATCAGGATTTGGTAGGTACAAAGTGCCGGTTGTACTAGCCAGGATGGCGTGATTGATGACGAATCGCTTGTAAAAACGCGGACAAATATTTGCTCGAGTTACGCTTCTGGTATAACTTCCTATTCTGTGCTACAGCGGGCGATTAGTTAGTAATCGACCCTGTTGAAACAAAAGAAACCCGGGCAACTATGCTATTATTCTGGTTAAGATACTCATACATTTGATCATACATAATTCTTTCCATAAGTTTACTTACTACAGGAAGGATTGATATCGGTCTATAGTTGTCCAACATGGACCGCTGACCTTTCTTAAACAATGGAATAACCCTTGCAGCTTTCCAATCAGAAGGAAATTGATCCGAGTCAATTGACATATTAAAAATCTCAGTAAGAGAAGGTGCAATAACTGGAGCTGCTACTTGTAGAATTTTAGCTGAAATTTTATCCATTCCAGTCGCTTTGGTGGTAGACAAGTTAACTAGAAGAGTGTAAACCAATGTTACACTCACTGGTCGAAATGAGAAACTGTTCTTTGTCTTAGATTTTTGTTGAGTAATAAAATCTCGAAAACTAACGTCATTGTCATTTGGAATAGACTCAGCAAGCTTTGGGCCAATATTACTAAAATGATCATTAAAAATCGATCGCAAACCTTCCACCAGAAGAGCGACAGTACCGCTTTACGCAACACAACAACCCAGTGAGCCAAGAAACGATCGCAAACCTTCCACCAGAAGAGCGACAGTACCGCTTTACCCAAAACAACAACCCAGTGAGCCAAGAAACGATCGCAAACCGTCCACCAGAATAGCGACAGTGTTGCAATTGCGGGAAAATATCCAGGTATATATAAAATGATTTTTTAATTAAGTTTTCTTAATTTCTTAAGTTTGACCACTAGAGCGCAAGGCGGCCATTTTTCTAAACCAAATCCCAGTCCCAAATGTGAAATTGAAACAAGACCCCAGAGGCAGAGCTAGTATTTCATCAGTGTGTTGACTTGAAACGCAAATGGCGCGCGGGCTTTAGTCGGAGGTTATATTGCATTAGACACCTTTCATGATGACGTCACATAATTACAACTACAAGAATTTAAGCACATACGAGGAGTAATAACAGAAAAAACAGATACAGTATGGTACAACATCACGTGTTTTGAATAAGCAGCAATTACCAGTGGCGTGCTGGGTACTATTTTTCTGGAGGGGCCAGTGGTCTGTCAGCCAATAGGTGCCCCTCTAATGTTACACTTGATAAACAAGGGCCGAAGGCACGAGCCGAGTGCCGCAGGTGCGAGGTTTGTCTAGGGGGGTCCGGGGGCATGCCCCCCAGGAAAATTTTTGAATTTAGAGTCTCTGAAATGCCATTTTCTGGACTTTGGGGGAAGATTTGACAGAAATCTGATGGTCAGGAAACGGCATTATAACGTGTCGAAATTTGCAATTTGGTTAGAATTTAGTAGTAGTACTTAAATTATGCAATGCTAACTACTTCCAGCGATTAATCTAATCCCAATTCTGTTCTCTACTGATCTACTGTTCTGAGCACATTTACAACTTAAAGCTCTTTTACACAATAACACGCGCACACCACGCATATGCATTTTAAGGTTTCGTTGCCTGGCTGCCAAAAGGGCATGCTTCAGCATTATTTCATTACTTACATTACTCATGCTTCTTGTGCAAACAACTAAATTGCGTACACAACTTTACATCAGTTATCATAACTTCAACTATCTAATTTGCGCCGCTCTCGTGATTCGTGAAGCATAATAAAGGGCATAATATAAGGGCATAATACCAGCAAAAAAGGGCATAATTCCCGTGATCGCTTCGATCGAAACCTGACCAATATTCCGGTAATGAGACATTGCCTGTGGTCACTGATCATGTTTTTATACGAACGATTTCGTGTGAGCTGTGAGGTAGCAAATACGGTTAGGCAAAATAGTCTGTAATTTAATATATGTCGTCTATGCGCTTAGTCTGTTTTATACTGTAGCCTATAAACACGTCTTTT